TTTTTTTCGGTTTTTTTTTTTTTTTTTTTTTTTTGCATGAAGTTATACCACAATCTTCTTGTTGAAGAAAAAAATATATGAACTTCAGACTTTTGTTCCATCAAAGATGGGTGGAAAATGAAATTGTGGTCATCAACAGGTAAACTCCTTAACATTAGAAATTTTTAATCTTGAAAATAAGATAGGTCACCTGCTACAACAGGTAAATGTGACTTGATGGTATAAAAATTGCTTACGCTGATAGTGTATATAACTTAAATCCATAAATCTATATCTATACCTATCTATATCTATCTATCTATCTATACTATACTAAAAGCACGAAGACCCTTAGCAAAATGTCATTCGCCTTCTTTACCCTTTTAAAATGGAGTTCACACTGGACAAAATAGTAATTTAAATATTTTCCTAATATGTGGAACTTTCAAATCAAATAAAATATTATTTATTGAATCTTTTCTTATTTGAAATATGCAAGACTCATAACTAAAATTTTAATTATGAAATCATTCCTTTTAAAATACGTAGAAAGTTTAATATTTAGAATTTCAAAATAAATATAGTCTGGGAGAACTAGGAATATGTTATCTTTTCCTTCTATTTTCTTACGGCAATTCCCTTTGAAATATGTTTAGGCATTCATTCTTTTTATAGGTAATAACTTAGAATTTTAAGGGACAGTGAGATGTTTATACTTAATATATTTTAATTATTAAATGTATTTTTTAAATATTACATAAGAAGATAAAAAAAAACTATCTATATTTTCTCTATTATAACAAATTTAAAAATGCTCAATGCAAAAAAAAAAAAAAAAATAATTATTCGTTTAATGTTAAGAATAAATAATCAACTCTTTGAATTAATTAATTAGCAAATGAATCCAATTAAATTCTTTTTCAAAATCTCATGTTAGTAAAGTGTCACGACCAGGATTTCCCACCCTCGGGAGTCGTCATGGCTCCTACTCGTGAAAGCTAGGCAAGACAACCAATTGAACTATTTACCCTGTTTTCATTTTTAATCCGATAACAATTAGGAACCAACGATTAAATAACAACAGAATTTAAATAGTCGGAAGACTAAATTGCAAAGTTTTAATAATACTGCTAATGCCAATCCATAACAAACCTACCCAAGACTGGTGTCACAACTTCACAGACTGTCTAGGAGTACTACAAATAAAGGTCTGAAAGAAATAATACAACACTGTCTCTGGAAATACATGAAAGAAACAGGAATAAAGATAGAGGGAGACGCCAAGGCCTGCGGATGCCTGCAGGACTACCTCGGGTCGCCCGACGATCAAGAAGCAGCAATCTCACTGCGATCCGAAAGCTAAAGCACTGGGATCTGCACAAAAAAGTGCAGAGTGTAGTATCAGTACAACCGACCCCATATGCTGGTAAGTGCCTAGCCTAACCACGGCGAAGTAGTGACGAGTCTAGGACCAGACTACCAAATAAACCTGTACAGTTAAACCATATATATAGCAAGTAACAATAAAGGAAGAGTAGCAGTTTAAGATGGGAAGGGGACATGCTGTGCGGGGTATCATTTACCAACAGTAACTCAGAAGAAAAGCATAAAGAAAAATTTAGAATTCGCAGCAGAAGGAATAAGGAAAACAGTAACAATTCAATATCCACTTTTATCCTTTATTGTTGCGGCGTGTAACCCGATCCAAATCATAAAACAATATTGCGGCGTGCAACCCGATCCACATCACATTTCACTGTTGCGGCACGCAACCCGATCCATATAATATTGTTGCGGCGTGCAACCCGATCCATAATATACAATTCAACACCAATCACAAAGAATCTCGACAAGGGAGCAATAAGAAAACAACAACATCCCGGCAAGGGAATCGACAGTAAGGAGTAACTACGTCCCGGCAAGGGAATCAGCTATAACCAAACGTGTTCCAATATTTGATTTCACAAAAGAGACCTCAACTAGAACCAACACTCAACCATAAGCAATTTCCACGAGAATAATCATAATTCTTGCCCACACAAAGGATCAATAACTTAGGCATTCGTAGTACTTATTAAGAACACACCGATTTCAATTTAAAACTCACGGGCATGCTTGACATCAACGTATAGATACTCGTCACCATGCCTATACGTCGTACTCATCAAATAACACATAGAAAATAGGACTCGACTCCTAATCCCTCAAGCTAAGGTTAGACCAAACACTTACCTCGATGCCACGAACACAATTGAAGCCTCAACTATCGCTTTACCTCTTGATTCCACCACCAATTCGCTCGTATCTAGCCACAAGTTACTTAATTATATCAATAAATGCTAAATGAATCAATTCTAATGCATGGAAATAAGTTTTCTAAAGTTTTTTTCAAAAAGTCAAAAATCGACCCCAAGCCCACATGGTCAAAACACGAGGTTCGAACCAAAATCCGATTACCCATTCACCCACGAACTCAAATATACAATTTGTTTTGAATCGGAACTCAAATCGAGGTCCAAATCCCCAAAATTTGAAAAACCTAGGTTCTACCCAAAACACCCAATTTCCCCCATGAAAATTATTGATTTTTAGTTGAAATCATGTGAAAGATGTTAAAGATTAAAGAAAACAAGTTAGAAATGACTTACAACCGATTTGGAAGAGAAGTTGTCTTTGAAAAATCGCCCAAGAGTGTTTTGGTTTTGAAAGAGTGTAAAAAATGGTTGAAATGCATCTAAGTTATGAATTTACAGGTCTCTGATGTCGCAATTGCGACCAAGGTTCGCAATTGCGAACCCTTCAGAAAACTGACACTTTCGCATTTGCGAAGAAAATGTCGCATTTGCGACCAAGTCAAATTTCCGGTCATCTTTGCATTTGCGATAGACCGTTCGCAAATGCGAAATCGCATTTGCGATAGAAGAGTCGCATTTGCGACTAAGGCTGCCGAGGTCCAATTTCGCATTTGCGAGGCTTTGTCGCATTTGAGAGCTTGCGAAGCCTGCAGACCTGATCATACCAGCTGAAAAACCTGCAATTTCCTAAGTTAAAATTCCACCCAGTGGCCTATCCAAAACTCACCCAAGCCCTCGGGGCTCCAAACCAAACATGCACACCAACCTAAAAACATCATACGGACTTGTTCATGCATTCAAATCACCAAAATAACATCAAAAACTATGAATTTAGCATCAAAATCATGAAATCACTTAAGAACATCAATTTTTTCCAATTTTCTCAAATAAGGTCCGATTCACGTCATTTCAAGTCCGTTTCTTACCACATTTCACAGACTTAACTTAAACCACATATAAGACCTGTACCGGGCTTCGGAACCAAAATACGGGCCCGATACCATCAAATTTCAAACACATTTCATTTCTAAAAACTCATATAATTTCCAGAAAACAAATTTCTTTAAAAATTCATTTCTCGGGCTTGGGACCTCGGAATTCGATTCCAGGCATACACCCAAGTCCCATATTTTCCTACGGACCTCCCAGGATCGTCGAAATACGGATCCGGGTCCGTTTGCTCAAAATGTTGACTAAAGTCAACCATAATTAATTTTTAACTCTAGGAATCTATATTTTTCATATTTTCACATAGAAGGCTTTCCGGATATAGGTTCGGACCATGCACGCAAATCGAGGTGGGACAAAAAGGAGGTTTTAAGGCCTCGGAATACTGAATTTATTTCTAAAACAAGTGATGACCTTTTAGGTCATCACCTCCTCCACCTCTAAAACAACCGTTCGTCCTCGAACGGACATAAGAAGGAAGTACCTGAGTCGGAGAAAAGATGGGGATAACGGCTCCGCATATCGGACTCAGACTCCCAGGTCGATGCCTCAGCAGACTGACCTCTCCACTGAACACGAACAGAAGGGAAACTCTTCGATCTCAACTGACGAACTTGCCGGTCTAGAATAGCTACCGGTTCCTCCTCATAGGACAGATCCTTGTCCAACTGGACAGTGCTGCAATCTAACACGTGGGAAGGATCGTCGTGATACTTCCGAAGCATGGACACATGAAACACAGGATGCACGGCTGATAAACTCGGCGGCAACGCAAGTTTGTAAGCCACCTCTACCACTCGATCAAGAATCTCAAATGGGCCAATGAACCTAGGGCTAAGCTTGCCCCTCTTCCCAAATCTCATCACGCCCTTCATAGGCGACACCCGAAGCAATACCCGCTCACCGACCATGAATGTCAAATTACGAACCTTACGGTCGGCATAACTCTTCTGCCTGGACTGAGCTGAACGAAGCCTATCTTGAATGATCCTGACCTTGTCCAAGGAATCCTGCACTAGATCCGTACCCAACAACCGAGCCTCTCCCGGCTCAAACCACCTAACCGGCGACCGACACTGCCTACCATATAAAGCCTCATAGGGAGCCATCTGAATGCTCGACTGGTAGCTGTTGTTGTAGGCAAACTCCGCTAAAGGCAAAAACTGATCCCACGAGCCTCCAAAGTCAATGACACAAGCTCAGAGCATATCCTCCAAAATCTGAATGGTCCGCTCGGTCTGCCCATCCATCTGAGGATGAAACGATGTGCTCAACTCCACCCGTGTGCCCAACTCTCGCTGAACTGCTCTCCAAAAATGTGAGGTAAACTGCGCACCTCGATCCGAAATGATAGACACGGGCACTCCATGAAGACGGACAATCTCCCGGATATAGATCTCAGCTAATCCCTCGGAAGAATAGGAGACTGCCACAGGAATGAAATGTGCTGACTTGGTCAGCCTATCAACAATAACCCACACTGCATCGAACTTCCTCTGAGTCCGTGGGAGTCCAACAACGAATTCCATTGTGATACGCTCCCACTTCCACTCAGGAATCTCAACATTCTGGAACAAACCACCAGGCCTCTAATGCTCGTACATAACCCGCTGACAATTCAAACACCGAGCCACATATGCGACAATGTCCTTCTTTATTCTCCTCCACCAATAATGCTACTGCAAA